TCTACTGTTATCACCAGGGCGAATTTAACCGCATGAGGTGGTTCGAAAAGGGTTGCTTCTTTGATTTAGAATATGCATGCATAGATATACACATGTTCATGCATATATCCACATATATGTATGTACATATATATATATGCATATATATTCATATTAAATCGGCTGTCGTTACAATTGGTCAAAAAAATAGTTTTTTTTTCCTAAATCAATATATTTTTAATATATTTTTTTTTTTAATACGACATTTGCAAAATATTGCCTATTGGCACCAGGAATCAGTTTTTTTGCTCTCCTGAAAAGTTATTGGAACACATAACTGTTTTTGTTGGCGCAGCGACGATATGTATGTATGTATGCAGATATGTAAATGGCGGTTCGCTATTCGCGTGACAAACTTGGAAAAACGACGTAAATCAGTACAAATTGTTATTGTTTTTATTAGAGTTTGAGTAACTCCTTTCATTATTTGGCTTTTAGTAACTTCAACGAAAGCTTAACTTATTTTATTCATTTAAGTGCAGTTTTACAAATCTTTTGTTAACTACCTTATTTTATTCCTTTGATTGTACATGTTAAACAAAAGCTTGTTTTAAAAAAAAATTTTTTTAAATTATTTTATTTCTGGTGGTCTTCTTGCATGTTGTAGCAGAAGTTGGTTATAATAGAACTTAGGCAGGGAACTTCTGTTGTTAATGGGAGCGACAAAGCCTCAGCCGCTTTGCTGTCAGCCATCTCGTTTCCTTTTATTCCGACATGTCCTGGGAGCCACAATATTTTTATTGTAGGGCCTTGATATTTAAGTACATGCTGAATTAAATTGCTGTTTCTGGTAGATGCAAGATGTTTAACAACGCTTAAGCTATCGGAACATGTTAAAGCTTTGCGATTTGTTGATGCTGCGTGTTTGATAGCCCGCTGTATTGCCCACAATTCTGCATTGAAGATACCTGTATGCGGCGGTAACAACGCTTGAATCAAGGTTTTGAACGAGTTCGTAGCCGTTTGTTCAATTACAGCGTAACTATTTCATTTCATTTCATTTAATAATCAATAAGCAATGTGTTTACCGACTATATTACAAATTTATAAAACAGGATAACGTAAAAAACTATGTCAAATTCAATGGCACATTTTGTCAAATTAATGGAAACGCTTGCCATTCGGTGCCATTGCCATCTTTTGTTAATCTATGATAAAAGTTTTAATCACAGAATGGCAACTCAGTGAAAACACCAAAGTTTGTGCTTCGAAATCAATCAGTCAATCAAAATATTGTCAAATGGCATCACAAATCAAATTGACAACCTGTTGAAATTTTCCCGCATTTTTTAAGAATAAACATACAAAGCAGCAGTGAGATACTAATTGTGCTATTTTTGCAATACATTGGTAAGAGTTTGTTCTTTTAATAAAAACTTTATCTGCTGTTTGAATTGCAATACTGTAATTACCAGTAATGGAAGAAAGCTACGAAATCATCGCATCTGCATCCCAAGATAGCAGACCAGCAAAGAAGGGAATCCGGAAACTCGAAGCAAAATGGACAAGCGCGGAGACGGAGAAAAGCGCTCTGGAAGGAGATAGCTGGCGAAATGAAGATGGCACCGTCCGAAATAAAAAACAAGTAGAACAGTTTGCGTTGCTCCTTCGGGGTATGTATCCACGGTCCGAGACATTTTGGCTGAATTTTTTTATTCATTCTGAACGTTTGGAATAAACTTTTTTGTTTACTTATTCTTTAGAACGTTCCTGATGATATGTTAACGTATATTTCAAACGCATTCTGTTTATTCCGGCTGTGAAATGGGATTATCCGGAATGTATAAAGAAACGCAGCCTTTATATTTCATAGTTTAAATGCATACTTGCTATCTATGTTTATTACAGACAACTTTAAACAAAATGAATTCAACAAAGAGTGGACAAGGAGCTTCTACCAAGCAACTACCACAAATCTTCCATTTGTTAAAGTTTCTAGAACCGACTTTGCGATTGGAGGCACCAACAATTTCAAATTTGCATAGTATGTATGCATAATTTACAGTACACATATTTTGTTCTATTGTATTATTAATTTCGTTTCCTTGTAGGACTTGGGTACTTTGGATACCATTGAAGAAAATGAGAACACTCAGACACCAACTATTGTCGCGAGACGACGCCGTAATGACGATTCGTCGTATATTAAAGTAGTAGAACGCGCTTTGGGGACCATGAGGCGAAACACATACACAAAATCAGCTGATCTAGTAACACCACCTTATATAAATTCGCCTTGTGACCTGGTCTACGAAAAGGGAGCTTACGTGCGAAAACTAGTTTTCTGTGAAAAAGCTGTTAAAAGTAAGCAACTCGTTTCGTTTACTCGTTTTTACTCTTCTTTCTCTACATTTTTAGTACACTTCTAAGCAAGTTAGGATTTTCTGCTTTTCACCACGTGAAAAAGCATCTCATCTTCCATCCGAATCAACCAAAAAGTGAAAATTGATTTTTTGACACCTAAGCCCCCTTTCCGTAGACCAGGTCACATATGTATATGCACGTTTTATATTACTTTTTTTTTTCTACCGTCGGTGACCCTTCCTAATGCTACTGAGTATGTATGTACATATATATGCAAATGTTAAAAACAGAGTACGAAAATAAACTGTACAAAACAATTCCCATTTGCTCATCGATCATCATATCATTTGTGGTTTTGTACAGTTTTGTACATAGTCAGAAACAAACTGTAAGATTCACTGTCATTTTCCCCAACGAGAAACGTTTGTTTTTCGTTTGTGACAATTGTACCATAGGGTGATATCACAAACGTTTCAATTACGTGAAAAATAATTTTTTTCTGTAAATTTTCATATCCAATTCAATTAAAAAACATTTTTATTTTTTATTCATTGCAGCCATTCGTTTTGTGTTTAGTTATTGCATATGTGTACATACATACATATATTTTTCTCTGCACGATTCATTTCGTTTGTTGTTTCGTCTGTAACTACTAAACTACTGAAGTGTACTATCACCAAAGTGAACTCAGCCGTATTGTACTGAACTGTTGAAGTAATAAACGGAACGAAATAGTAACGTACAATATAGTTTATTTTCGTACCCTGGTTAAAAACAATAGTGACTTCTCACTTACCAGTATGTGCGTATGTTGTATGTCCACCGATGCTAGCGCCAGCATGCAGACTACCTGGGAAGTGTTGGGGGAGAAAAACAAAGCATTCATATGTACATATACCTACTGGAAAGGAGAGTAACCAAACAAACAGAAACAGGTGGTATAGTGGATCACTATTAGTGGGTACGTATGCCACCTGTTTTGCTCTCCATTTCAGTTCGGCCCTTTAATCCGTCGCGAAAACAAACTAAGTGTCGTTTGAACGTATGTATGTATGTATACCGGTGCGTGTGACAAAAAAAAAAATAAAAATAAAATACAAAAGAAATTAATAAACCGAAAAAAAAATTATATCTATAACTTATCGTTATTAACAACAAGAATTGTGCGTGAAAAGCAAAATAAGTGATCGGATTAATGTTACTAATAATAGGAAACTGCAGTTATTTGGCAAATAAGAACTAAGGTGTAACGCGAGTACAGAGTAAAAAAAAGAGCGTGATGAATTTGAGCTGAATGTCAAAACTCAAAAATAAACGCAATGTAAATAATGTGGTGAAAATAAAACTAAGCTTAGAACAACTAAATTCGAAGAAAAGGGTGATGAAATAGCAAACTTACAAAATTAAAAAAAAAAATATGGTAATTGGCAAAATGCGATACGAAAATAACCAAAGACGTGCAAAAATAATAATTCTATAAATTAATAAACTAAAATAAACCAGGTGTGCTGCTGGAACGCTGTTTATTAGTGATGCTGGCGTTTTTTAGTGCGACGTCGATATTACTGCTGTAGCGTATGAGCGGGTGAGTTTGATTTATCCTCCGTGATGTGGTGTTGTTGTGTGATCTGCGACTTTGCTTAGGCCGGTACGGTGTATATCCAGCCGTCTATATGCATGTGATACTGGAACGGCGATGAGTTTGGCCTTTATGCTATGGTTTTGCCTGATGTTGCTGAGTCGGTGGTGCGTGTTAGCCGTGTGGCGTTAGCGTGTGTGTGTGGATTACGACGGTGGGGCACTTAGTGTTGCCGAGAATTTTCTTATAATTTTTGTTAGCGCGGCCCGGATATACATTTAACCACTGTATCACTGTATTCGGTAAATTTCTCTTAAGGTTTTGGTTTTACCTTTCTTTGTGCACCAAATAACTTTAAATTTTACTTAAAACTTTTTGTGATGTAACGACGGGTGAATATAGTTCGCGCTCGGTCAATTCTGACTTTCAGCACTGTGACTTTCTCCAAAAGAATCTCGATTAAGGCTTCAGCTCGCTATTTAAGCATTTTCGACCTTTGTTTTGGTTACGGTGATTCTGCGGTTATCCTTTTGTTTACAAGCAGACACATATACACAAGCTCAGGCCAGCCAATAGCAAGATCGCAGATCACGACATCGAACAAGTTGTATCGCACCCGCTATTTTGACTTTGGACTTTACGTCTTCATGGTAGCCAGTGGAAAGTTTTTATTTTGTTTACTTATACTGCTTCTACTGTTATCACCAGGGCGAATTTAACCGCATGAGGTGGTTCGAA